AGCCTATGGGACACTATACTACTCGTAGCCTTGCTGTAAAGGGGCAAGGTCCCATCGGCTCGACTAGCGGGGAGTGGTCAGAGGCCGATAGGGTTGCCATGCTGGTCGTCATAGTCCTATCGGCATTGGAGTTCTACCCGATGCCGCTGGGCATGACTATTCTCGATGTGATGGCGGGCATCGAGATTGGCGTTGATACTGTCGTGGGCGTCACCACACAGGGGTTGATTAACCTCCTGGTTGGCGTCATGAGCTGGTCGGCCACACTAATTTTGTGGTCCTTGTGATCTAGGGTTGATGGCAACATTGCCCCTGGACCCTCCTTGGACAATCTGGCTGCTATGATAACGGCTCCCCCTCATGGCGACAGCCACGGGGGTCTCAACTATGAGCCAATGCGGTCGAAAAAGACATAACTAGGTTCCGGATGTCGTTGACCTAGACCTAAGCTACTTTAAGCAGCGCTTGAATCTTGAGTACCTTTGGCGTTGGTGGGAGTCTAGCCAGCTTATGGGTGGCCACAGCCAGATTGGCGCTCAGCGTCTGCTCCACTTGCTGGTTGTCCACCATGAGGAACTCTTGTTGGAGATTACGAGCAAGAGGTGGTGGGTCACCTCTGGCAGCTTGGGCGGCATTTTCTGCTTCTTCATTACGACGTTGTTGGCGATCAGCATTCTTGGCTTCGTGCTCACAGCGCTGGACACTGGTTTCTCCATCGATAGCAATACTGTCGTGGGTAACCATAAAAAGCTCTCTCCCAAAGCCTGGAGGGAAAGGTGGGCAGTTACTGGTAGAGCCCTCGGAGTATGGCTCAGGGCTTTCCTCCAGGATTGTATGAGCGTGTCATCCAGAAGCTGCCGGATTTGCACCATGTTTACCATTGGCGTAGGCTGGTCGGCCTTAGGGAGGTCGATTTGGTAGAGGTCATTGACGTAGCTGCGCTTGGTGTGGTCGGTGAAAAGATGGTGTAGGGCATCCTAACAAATTGGATCTGCACCCACTAGCCCAAAACAATAGGGCCTCGGCATGTTCTCCGTCGGGGCGGGGAGTGATCGGCGTTGAACAGTATGCCCTTCCGGAGTTGCCGTGATCACCAAATCTTCATCTTGACACCTCGAACGACGTGCATGAGCATGGTGCTTGGCATTAGTGGCATGGTGACCTTGGAGTGCAGGAACTTCATCGCTCGCTCTAGATTGATCTAAGACTAAATACACGAGGAGCTGTCATTCTGCTAAGCGGTTTGTGACTCGATCGATGGATACGATCAGATCGTCATTGCTGATGGATCTCCTAACCCAGCGGTGAGGCGCCGAGATCGGAGATGTCGTTGTAGATGTTGGCACGATCGGCGCAGGGTGATTCTGCATTGCCTCCACGATCTCCTCGACGCCGTCAGCGCCGATGACCCTGGTCATAGATCCGACCATGAAGGTCTGACCTGGCTCGGGAAGGATCATGGAGCTCAGGAAGCGGACCATCTAGCTCACCATGGAATTAGCACGCACACCCCTTGACTAGCGCGCCACTATCGATGAAATCTGGTCGGCAGTCTATCGAGGGGTATACCCACGGTAGTAGATGATCGGTGGAGGTGCGTGTAATAGGAACTGGATGGTGACACGGGCGTAGAGACAACGATTTAGACAGGTTCAGGCCGTCTGATTGACGTAATACCCTACGTCTTGTGTCTTTGGTGGATTGTATTGAATATGAGATGCATTCAGGGGGTCCCTACCCACCTTATATAGTGTGGAGGGTATGGTTACAGGTCGGTTTAAGTCTAGATCTATTCGGCTATATAGTAAGTATTTACAAGGAATACGATATCTATCATATCCGAACAGATCTTCCTTTATCGCCAAGATGTCTTCTGATTTCCTTGCGGTGCATACCGACCAGAGCCAAGCATTGTAGGCCTTGATCTTATGGGCTGGACCTCCCATGGTGGTGCGGCCCATGTCCATTGCCATGGGTACCTGGGGTTATACCCCCCATATTATCATGTTGATCGTCAGCATTTTCCGCCGCCTCCCTGATAAGCTTCCTAACATTCCCCCGTTCTTAATTCTGGCTTGTCCCCAAGCCGGTGCTGCTGGAAATTGTTCTTTGAGTTCTACTTCTAACTCCCACATAGCCATTGATGGTGGCCAGGAAGACCACTGAACAAGAACTTCAGCTACTAGCTTGTCACCATCAGGCTTCAGGCGATGCTGTAAGACTCGAGTAGGAATACGAAAAGTGTCAGTATCAGAATGTTCAAGGATATCAGAGGAAACCTAGACAGTAGGCGGAAGTGCCTTCTTCAATTATGAAACATGAAACACCGGGTGAACAGATGTATGTTCAGGCAGTTGAAGCTTATAAGCAACTGGGCCAACTTTAGCAACAACCGGATATGGTCCAAAGTACTGAAACGACAATTTGTGTTAGCTCTAGTGGCAATTGATGTTTGCACATATGGTTGCAGCTTAAGATAGACTGAATCCCCAACCTCAAAGGAGCGTTCAGATCTATTTTTATCAGCTTGTACTTTCTGCCTTTGCTGAGCCCTGAGCAACTGTTGCTAGAGTAACTGAACCATGATTTTCCTTTCAGCTAGCCAAACTTGGAGATTAGGTACAGCACAAGACTCAATAACATCAATGCCCAAATGTCTTGGTTGTTGACCATAAAGTACTTCAAAGGGGGTTGTATTCGGTGAAGTGTGATAGCTTGTGTTATACCAAAATTCAGCTAAAGCTAACCACTTCTGCCACTGAGTTGGACATGCATGAACAAAACATCTGAGATAGGCTTCTAAGCATTGGTTAACCCTTTTAGTTTACCCATCAGACTGAGGGTGATAAGCTGTGCTCATTCTGAGTTCAGTTTTGGTGAGCTTAAACAGCTGTTGCCATACATTGCTAGTGAATACTCTATCTCTATCAGAAATAAGTGCTTCAGGAAAAACATGGAGCTTGAAAACATTGTCCATGTAAACTAGTGCAACTTGTAGGGTAGTGTAAGGATGTTTGAATGGAATAAAGTGGGCATACTTAGAGAATTTATCCACAACCACTAATATGTAATCAAAACTATGAGATTTGGGCAAACCTTCAATGAAGTCTAAACTGACCACCTGCCGTGCAAACTTTGGGACTGGCAGTGGTTGAAGAAGACCAGGATATTTGACCCTTTCATGTTTAGCTTGTTGACACACAGTGCAGTGAGCCACAAATTCCTTCACCATACTTTTAAGACCTGGCTAAGCAAACAAACCTCTCACCCTCTTGTATGTAACTGGAAAACCAGAGTGCCCCCAAGAGGACTAGAGTGGAGAGACTGTAGAATCTATTGCTAAATGGTGGCATTGTGACCAACCCAGATTTTGCCCTTATATTTGATAATTCCTTGATACAGAGAAAAATTACCAAAGGTATTGTTAACAGCCAAGGTAGATAATAGTTTAACTGTATGAGGGTCTGACTGATATGTGTCAACTAATTCTTGTAACCACACAGGCTGCAAGGAAGACACTGCTGTGAGTTCTTGACATGGGTTGTTAGTAACTCTTGATAGAGCATCTGCTACTCTATTCTCTGCACCCTTTTTGTAACATATTTTGTATCTCAAGCCCATGAGTTTGGTTAAAGCTTTATGCTGCCAAGGAGTATGAAGTCTCTGATCATCCAAGTGAACTAAGCTGTGTTGATCAGTTTTGATAGTGAACTCACCATGTTGAAGATAGGCTCTCCAATGGTCCACAGCTAAGAGGATAGCCAAACATTCTTTTTCATAGGTGGAAAGGGCTTGATTCTTCGGTCCAAGAGCTTTACTGACATAGGCTACAGGGTGACCATTCTGCTAAAGTACAACTCCAATCTCTTTATCAGAAGCATCAGTTTCAATCACAAAGGGTTTACTGAGATCAGGTAAAGCCAAGACTGGGGCTGTGGTCAAAGCATCTTTCAGGGCCTGAAATGACTGCTGTTGTTCCTGTGTCCAAACAGATAGAGACCCCTTTTTAAGAAGACTAGTAAGTGGTCTGCCGATAGCCCCAAAAACTTGCACAAATTTTCTGTAATAACCAGCCATCCCAAGAAAACTTCTAACTTCTTTAGCATTTAGGGGCACTGGCCAATGTTTGATGACATCAACCTTGCCAGGGTCAGTTGCCACACCCTTGGCACTAATGACATACCCAAATAGGCTAACTCCTTTTTAGCAAAAGAACACTTGGAAAGCTTAACCTTAAACTGATGTTGGAGCAATAGAGTAAAGATCTCTTTAATATGCTGTAGATGCTCAGCCCAAGTCTTACTGTATATATAAGAATGTCATCTATAAACACTACAGCACACTTCCTCAACACAGGTGCCAACACAGTGTTCATCTCATACTAAAAGGTTGCAGGACCACCAGTAACTCTATATGGCATAACTTTATACTCATAGTGGCCATTATGGGTTTGAAAAGCTGTCTTGGCAATATCTGTTTTAGCCACTAAGGTTTGATGGAACCCAGATGACATGTCTAAGGTGGTAAACCATTTAGCTCCAACTAAATCATCAAGCATTTCATCAATAACAGGAAGAGGGAATTTATTCTTCACAGTCAGTGCATTAAGCTTCCTATAATCAAACATAACGTCTAGTCTCCAGTTTTCTTTTTGACTAGAAGAACTGGAGAAGCAATGGGCTTTGGCTCTCTTGAATCCAACCATTAGCTAGTAACTGTTGAACTTGTAACTCAATTTCATCCTTCTGAGCAGAATTGTACCTGTAGGGTCTGAGCCTACATGGTTGTGCCCCAGGAATTAGTGGGATGGTATGCTCTGATGCTCTCTTTGGTGGTAAGCCCAGTGGGAGGTTGAAAAATGGTATGAAATTGGTCCACAAGTTACTGTACTTCAGGTGGCCTAGTGTACATAGCTTTATTGGTATCAACTAGTTGCAATGTTAACAAACACCATAGTTGGTCTTGATGTTCCAGAACTGTGAGCTCATGTGAAGATATTTCTAGGCAAGACTGTACTTGGGGTAGAATTCCTTGAAGAACTGCCTTACTGCCCTGGTAATCAAAAGATAACCACTTATCCTTCCAGTTAACTTTCATTGGACTGTGCTGTTCCAGCCAGTCAATCCCCAAAATCACATCATAACAGCGGAGAGGTAGGATCTTCAGAGGTAATTTGAAGGCATAGCCACTGATCCAAACAGGGCAAGCAGTAATTTCATGGGAACAATGCAGAATTTGACCATTTGCTACCCTGACCTGCATTGGTGATTGCTCCAATTTCTCCATCTTGAAGCCAGAGACTCACTAATGAAATTATGAGTACTCCCAGAATCAATCAGAATAATGACTTCTTTGGCACATATATTGCCCACCATTCTCACAGTTTTACTAGAATCTGTACCCTGCACTACATGAATAGAGAGAGCCATAAGATCATCACCAGAATCTTCTTTAGAATCATCGAGAGGGTCTTGCTCTTCAACATGTAACATTTGCCAAAGTTCTTCAACAACATGCAGTGGCACAGAAGTTGCACACTTGTGCCTAGGACTCCATTTCTATCCACATTTATAACATAACCCTTTAGCTCTTCTATAGTTCATGAGAGTTGCAGCCTTATCTTCTGACCGATTTCCTCTAGTACTGTCAGAGTTCCTCCTGGAAGAATTTTGACTGTTATCAGCCCCTTTAGTTACCTGAGATGCAGCAGTGCCACCAAATGAACCACTACTATTCCTGCCAGAATACTTGAAAGCAGTATTACTTTCATGCTTCCTGAATTCTTTCTTGGGTGGATCTCTGTAGTATTCTTCCTGCAACAAGGCAATAGAACTAGCAGTATCCAAGTTTGCAGGTCTGTGAACAAGAACTACATTTCTAATATCTTCTTTCAGGCCATCAATAAATCTATTGGTAATGGTGGCTACACTGAATTTAGGATCACGAGCTAAAATTTGACGAACAAGGCTATCAAACTTCTCTAGATATTCAGCCACACTATCCTGTTACTTAATGCAAAAGAACAGCCTAAGCAACTGATTATGCTGATCTTTTTCAAACCTATCACAAACAGAGATCAGGCCAAGCAAGTTCCTGAACTGGGTAATCTAGTGACTTAGCCCAGAAATCAGCATCACCACTAAAATGCATGTAAGCAGTTCTAGACTTAAGGAAATCTGGCACATCATACATGTCAAAATAATTGTTGCACTTTTTTATCCAAAGCTTAGGACTACTGCCATCAAATTCAGGGAACTCCACAGTTGGTAAAGCATGATTCAGGTGATACTGAGTAAATTCAGGGGAATATGCATGTCCCAAAGGAAAAGCCACAGGAGTAAGAGTTTTGGTATTTCTCACACCTGTGACCGGGGTAGGAATGAGGGTGGTGACCACCCCATTGCCTGAACCCCGGTGAATGGTTTCATCGCCGTGGCCACTTGGCCCAGAGGTTACTCCACAGGGTTTGCTGGGCAGATCAGTAGTTGCAGACCCCGTCACATTCAGATGCTCAGTATCGAATACCCTGTAAGCAGAGTTTGTCACCTCCTCCTGCTTCACAGCGAGATGATCCACCTTGGTGCAAAGTTCACGAACACTGGATTGAAGTTCCTCAACATCCGCCTGCACCTTGGGTTTCCAACCAATGGGCTCATGGAGAACCGATGTATTTGCTTCCAACGCCTTCTTCATCGATTGATGTTGTTCATCCATCCGAGCCTGCATCCCCTTGAGGAACGCCGCCAAATTGCCGATCTGGCCCTCCAGCGCCATCAGCCTCTTCTGCTCTCTGGTCTGATACTGAGGACAAAGTAGATAGTCTGGTGGTGATGCTAGACTCGCCGGATCTCCGCCGAGGAACACCACACTGGAGAAGAACGGAATCGCGCCGGGATCGACAGCTCCGAGTACCAAATGTCACGATCCAATACTCAACGATGGTTCGGAATCACGATATCAATTAAGTGGCTAGAGTTTAACACGAATTTGACAAGGGAATCTCTCAATCTGGTACAAGCACGACGAGGAGAGCGCTACCGGCTCCAATTCTCCGGACGCAGCCGGCCTCCTTGCCTATGGGTTCTACCTTGTCCTCCATGAAGCTCTGCGTTCCCCTCTTATCGACTAGCCGTTCCTCCACTCGGGCCCGAAGTATCTGGGATTGGGCTTTGCTGCTCGCTTGGGCCTCCCGGCTTCTGGCCCATCTTCCACTTCTTCATTAGACTCCTTTTGATTCGCCTTCTCCTGTTGATCGTCAGCATTTGCCGCCGCCTCCCTGATATGCTTCCTGACAGAAGCATGCTAATCAAGCTTCGGTAGTGGAAACAAAACGTGCAGGCTGGCTTGCGCGCCTCCTTCTCCTTCCTTCGCCCACAAGCACCGCCCTGATCTGATCGATCGACACCACCGGAGCCGAACAAACACAAACACGTATCTGAAACCCCAGCACACACTATCGCTTGCGTACAAGCCTTACACAAACGGACCGGTAGCTATCTTTTTGCTCTCCCTCGCTCTATATAAACCGTCGTCCGATGTACATGACGCATCCAAGAACTCCATCATAAAGCTAGCTGCTTGCACAGTCGTCGCAGAGAGCATCATCATATCGCCGGCTTCGATCGTCGGCAGCAACAGCAAGCAATCGCGACCGAGCAATGGGCAACGTGGAGGCGATGTTGTCCATCGTGCCACCGGAGCTCGGCGACGAGCTGGTGAAGGTGGCCGTGTTCGCGGTGGTGCAGGCGCTGGTCTACCTCATACTGCGCAAGTCGTCCGACGTCTTCACCCCGGGGAAGACGGCGGCGAGGTCGTTCAGCTTTCCGCCCGATGCGGAGCATGAGCGTCCGCCGCGTGCTGGCCGCCTTCTCCGACGTCCCCGTCGTCGTCCCGGAGCCGGAGGACGGCGCTGGCGCCGCCGCACCGTCGCCTTCGCCGGTAGTGGATCCCGGAGCTGAGCCTGCCATCTGCTTCAAGTGAATTAATCGTCGGGTCGGTCGTTCTTTGCATTAGAGGTGCTTTGCTCAAGTATATACTAGCTCCTATATATGTAATTGATCTGTCATGTAAAATAGTACTAAAAAAATGGTACTAGTATTGTCTCAAAAAAAATGGCACTAGTACTAAAACTACTACTACTTTGAGGTATGACGTGTATGTATGTATGTATGTATGTATGTACAGCTAGTTTGTGTACTGATCTTGATTCGAGTTGCGATTATTACTTGGCTCTTTTTTCTAATTCTAATTATTAAACGAGCGTGTTTTCTCCTTGACGACATGGATGTGTTGCTTACCTGCTTCCCAGTTACTACTACTAATTCAGTTGCCATCAAAATGCAAATGGAGAACACCTCAGGGCGAGCAACTTGCAGGTGACGAATTGAGCAAGGCGTTTCTGGGGATTTGAGGCCCAAAGCAAATGGGGCTCCATTTGCCTAGAGAGTTTCAAACTGGGCTCAGAAGCCCCGTTGTGGCTCGCCCTATATCTCATGGAACGAATTACTCTTTCCAAAAAAAAAATGGGATTTCTAAATATCTGCCAGCAGATTTTTGTTTCTGTTTTCTTCCACTTTTGTATGGTCCAGATTTTGTTAAGATTCCTGCTCACTTACATAACAATTTTCTTTGGTTTCTGTTGGCCTATCTAAGGTGGTGTTTTGGATACAGTGACTAAAATTTAGGAGGTATGTCGGGAGGATGTTGTATGGAGTGTTTGGATACTAATAAAAAAATAAATTACATAATCCGCCAGTACTCTCACGAGACGATTTTTTAAGCCTAATTAATCCGTCATTAGCACATGTTTACTGTAGCATCACATTGTCAAATCATGAACTAATTAGGCTTAAAAGATTCGTCTCACAAATTAATCACAAACTATACAAATAATTTTATAATTAATCTATATTTAATACTCTATACATGTATCTAAATATTTAATATAACCGAAACTAAATTGACAGCCAAACACCACCTAAGTTGTGTGGTTGTCGTTCGATATGTCTTCATTTTCAATTTGTTGTTCTGGGAGTCCTCGACTGTGGCCGTGGCCTTGCCGGCGGCGGCGGCGGCCGCCGCGCCCTCTGTGGCTCCGCATCCAACGGGAGGACAGGAGAGAGAGAGAAGACATGTGCAGCCGTCTCTCGCAGCTGCCCGGTCCTCCCTGCTCCGCTTGCACGACACACTGCTCTTGTCCTCTCCCTCCTGCTCTGCAGTTGGCCCTCCTCTGTCCTCCAGCCTGTTCGTTGGATGGTGTATTGGTTTGTGAAGTTTGCTGGCTGGTTCGTGTGAGAGAAAAATACCGGAAATTTACTATCGTTTACGACCACAGCCAAACGAACAGGCTATCGTCCGCCGCCGCCGCCGTCGCGTGCCGCGGTCACTCTGGCCCGCCGCACAGGCTGTGTGAGATATAGGTGAGTCTCCTTCTCTTCCTCCCTTCCCTATATCGCATCTGTCTTCCCCGAACCACTCCTTCCGCAGCCCCCACCGTGAACCATGGACTCGACTCCTATAAGCCATCTTCTCCTCCTGTCACCACCAGGGATATTCCGAGAGCCCCTCCCCTCTGACGCTGTTGCAGGTCTCGATGAAGTTCGGCAGATGCTGCTGCTGCTGTTGTGGTTTTATTCCCAAGTGGAGTCGATTCTGATGGGCTTTGTGCTAATTGAGTTGAAATGGGGGTTGTCGTGTGTGATGCGGTTCGTTGCTGTAGGTGAGGTCTTCCAGATGCCGTTGAGTGTCGACGGACACTGTGATTGTGTGGAATGTGCTTCAGAAAGAATCTCCGAGTCGGTCGGCGCACTGGGTTTAGAGTTTGATGTTTAGTATTTCAGTTTTCCCTTCAAGGTTCCATGTTTCAGATTTCATAATTTTATTGTTTCAATTTGTATTCCTGAATACTTAGGCCTTGTTTAGTTTCTCCTCAGTATTAAATATAGACTAAAAAATAACTAATTGCATAGTTTACGACTAATTTGCGATACGAATCGTTTAAGCATAATTAGTCCATGATTTGACAACGTGGTGCTACAGTAACACATGTACTGATGACGGGTTAATTAGGTTTAATAAATTCGTCTCGCGGATTACTGACGGATTCTGTAATTTATTTTTTTATTAGTACCTGAACACCCCGTGCGACACCCCCACGTGGCACCCGATGTGACACCCCCAAACTTTACACCCTAGATTTAAACAAGGCCTTAATTTTGTGCTTGCACAAGTGTTTCAGCGATTCAGAGTTTTAGTTTCTGAATTTTGTTTAGTTAGTTCAGTTTTTAGAAAAACTGCTTCATTACTATTATATTGCCTGTATTCAGTTTCAGTGGATGGTGATTGCTTGTTTGGTTTGAGAAAGATTTGTTCCTGCCTGCCTGTTTGTTAGTGGTAAAGAGTTTGCTTGGCTGTTAGCGTCTTGTTATATCATTGACCTCATGCATGTGGGCTTCAACACTCTGTTTTTTTTTGTTTTAGGTGATGTTTGGTCTGTTACGTGTCTTTGTTCCTTGCTCTGTGTTACAGTATACCTATTATGGCGACAATTTCATCTGCTTCCGCATGTGCTTTAGTCAGTGTCTACCTTTTAATGGGATTGGGCTGTGTCTCTTCTGCGTTTTAGTTGCCTGCGTTGTTGCGGCTTTTGAGGCCATGCTTCCCTTCATTTTTGGTTCGTTATTACTATTTATGTGGGATGGGATTTATGTGCTCTGATTCGGCCTCCTTCCAGGTCTGCTACATTTTTTTCAACTGCATTGCCTTGCCTGTTTACTGTCTCTTCCTATTGTCCTGTTTACAAATTCGTTACTTTTTGTAATCTGCTACATTATTTGGTGGTTGTTGCGACCCTGTCATTCCTTCCAGTTCCAGGAGCCGCTTCTCTCAGCTCATAGTGTCGCACCATGTTTACTTCCTGTGTCCTGTTCTTAGCGTCTAATTATTCTCTCAGCTGATCCTTCAACCCAGCCGGTTCACGTTTTGTTTGATCTGTACTGTACCACCTCTGCTGCTACTAGGGCTGTACAGACACCATATTTTACAATATAGGATAGTCTTATATATTAGCTAGTTCTATAAATATATATTTATAGACATGACAGCTCTTGATGTTTTAAACATGTTGCCCTGGTTTCCTAGGGGACTACAGGTTCATGTTCTGCTATTACGTGCTCAGTCGCTCACGGTCCTTCTTTTTGATGGTCTGCTCGGTGTGCTTCATGCTCATTTGTTTATCACGCATCAGGTCCATGGTTCCTTTCCTTCTACTGCATGTATGTCTTTGCTTATGCCTGCTCCTTCTGTGAGGTCACAGTTAATTAGAATTATTATTCATGCTAATTAGTGTTGTTCTTGCTTCGTTGTTCGTACTGTATGCCTGCACAATAAAATATATGACCCTCCTTGCTCACCAGTCTTTATAGGTTTTCGTTGTTGTTCCCCTTTGATGGGCCCCAGTTATTCAGTTTATGTTAGTTTAGAGTTTGAGGTTCAGTTATTTAGTTTTTCCTTCAAGGTTCAGTGATTCAAATTTCAGTTTTGTTAGTTTACAGTTTGAGCTTGAGTTTTTGAGTTTTCCCTTTGAGGTTTCTGATATCAGTATTTCAGTGTTCTCTGTGATTTTCTGTTTGTTTTCTGTGATCCAGTTTCTCAGTTTTTGTTGTACATTTACTCATTTAGGACTCATGGCTGCTAGGAGCAAATGTTGTTTTGGTAATGGTGTCCTAGAGGAACGTTGGATGTGATGAAGAGAAGATTGGTCCGTGTTTTTGATT